GATCACCACGGGGTGGGGATGAATGGGTATTATGTGATGTAATAGTAATGTATTGATCACCACGGGGTGGGAATGAATGGGTATTATGTGATGTAATAGTAATGTATTGATCACCACAGGGTGGGGATGGATGGATATTATATGATGTAATAGTAATGTATTGATCACCACGGGGTGGGGATGAATGGGTATTATGTGATGCAATAGTAGTGTATTAATCACCACGGGGTGGGGATGAATGGATATTATATGATGTAATAGTAATGTATTGATCACCTCGGGGTGGGGATGAATGGGTATTATGTGATGTAATAGTAATGTATTGATCACCACGGGGTGGGGATGAATGAGTATCATGTGATGTAATAGTAATGTATTAATCACCACGGGGTGGGGATGAATGGTTAATATGTGATATAATAGTAATGTATTGATCACCACGGTGTGGGTTGAATAGGTAATATGTGATGTAATAGTAGTGTATTAATCACCACGGGGCGGGGATGAATGGATATTATATGATGTAATAGTAATGTATTAATCACCACGGGGCGGGGATGAATGGATATTATATGATGCAATAGGAATGTATTGATCACCACGGGGTGGGGATGAATGGGTATTATGTGATGCAATAGTAGTGTATTAATCACCACGGGGTGGGGATGAATGGTTAATATGTGATATAATAGTAATGTATTGATCACCACGGGGTGGGGATGAATAGGTAATATGTGATGTGTGATGTAATAGTAATGTATTAATCACCACGGGGCGGGCATGAATGGATATTATATGATGTAATAGTAATGTATTGATCACCACGGGGTGGGGATGAATGGGAATTATGTGATGCAATAGTAATGTATTAATCACCACGGGGTGGGGATGAATGGATATTATATGATGTAATAGTAATGTATCGATCACCATGGGGTGGGGATGAATGGGTATTATGTGATGTAATAGTAATGTATCGATCACCACGGGGTGGGGATGAATGGGTTCTATGAGATGTAATAGTAACGTATTGATCACCACGGGGTGGGGATGAATGGGTATTATGTGATGTAATAGTAATGTATTGATCACCACGGGCTGGGGATGAGTGGGTATTATGTGATGCACTAGTAATGTATTGATCACGACGGGTGGGGATGAATGGGTATTATGTGATGTAATAGTAATGTATTGATCACCACGGGGTGGGAATGAATGGGTATTATGTGATGTAATAGTAATGTATTAATCACCACGGGGCGGGGATGAATGGATATTATATGATGCAATAGGAATGTATTGATCACCACGGGGTGGGGATGAATGGTTAATATGTGATATAATAGTAATGTATTGATCACCACGGGGTGGGGATGAATATGTAATATGTGATGTGTGATGTAATAGTAATGTATTAATCACCACGGGGCGGGCATGAATGGATATTATATGATGTAATAGTAATGTATTGATCACCACGGGGTGGGGATGAATGGATATTATATGATGTAATAGTAATGTATTGATCACCACGGGGTGGGGATGAATGGGAATTATGTGATGCAATAGTAATGTATTAATCACCACGGGGTGGGGATGAATGGATATTATATGATGTAATAATAATGTATCGATCACCATGGGGTGGGGATGAATGGGTATTATGCGATGTAATAGTAATGTATCGATCACCACGGGGTGGGGATGAATGGGTTCTATGAGATGTAATAGTAACGTATTGATCACCACGGGGTGGGGATGAATGGGTATTATGTGATGTAATAGTAATGTATTGATCACCACGGGCTGGGGATGAGTGGGTATTATGTGATGCACTAGTAATATATTGCTCACGACGGGTGGGGATGAATGGGTATTATGTGATGTAATAGTAATGTATTGATCACCACGGGGTTGGGATGAATGGGTATTATGTGATGTAACAGTAATGTATTGATCACCACGGGGTGGGGATGAATGGGTATTATGTGATGTAATAATAATGTATTGATCACCACGGGGCGGGGATGAATGAATATTATATGATGCAATAGTAATGTATTGATCACCACGAGGTGGGGATGAATGGGTATTATGTGATACAATAGTAGTGTAGTAATCACCACGGAGGTGGGGATGAATGGTTAATATGTGATATAATAGTAATGTATTGATCACCACGGGGCGTGGATGAATGGATATTATGTGATGTAGTAGTAATGTATTAATCACCACGGGGTGGGGATGAATGGTTAATATGTGATATAATAGTAATGTATTGATCACCACGGTGTGGGTTGAATAGGTAATATGTGATGTAATAGTAGTGTATTAATCACCAC